GCGTTTACCGAGATATTGTTCTGACTATGGAAACTTACACGAAGGAGTTTTGCCCTCATCCTCGTCGTCTTTTGGCATTTTTGTGTCGTAGTGCCTAAATGTACACCGTTAGCCTAGAATCAAAGAGATAAATACCACTGACGCTGGATATATAGCTCTTGGACGTCCCATGGCGAATCCGAATACAGTTTCACAGGAAACTAGATCCCACCAAAGCCGTCTACGAAGTTCAGCCTGTTCTGGGTATTTGTCCCAGTGCTCGTTATCTCGGTCTATAAGATTCAGGTTACAGACTGGAAATTAAATTGACCACTGTTCCTTACGTAGACCAGCCTGATAAAGATTCAGGATAAGTATTGGTTGCAGTACATTGTCGAGGACGCACCATTTGTGCGAGCCTAATGGCCAAACTCAAAGCACCCCACGCCCTATTTGGCCCATTAGGATCATTACTCATAATGCTAAAAGTGGAGAGTGATTTCTGTTGATATTTCAGCTTTGAAAGGAGAATAAGAGGATATTCAGTTCACCAAATATTGTATGGCATATATAGAGTGAGATTGAAGAATGTCCTGGGAATCAAATGAGCCTGTGCAAGAGCGCTATAATGGTGGGATATTCACCTCTCCTAAGGACATCGAAGCTCGTGATAGATGGTAGTAACGGTGGGCGTCTGGGTGGTACATAGGGCGTGTGGGATCGGTGAGGACACAAAGAGCCATAGTTATATAAAAGACGCCAATTTGTTGGTCGTTTGCTACACATTCCTGTCCGTAAATCGGGTCAAAGATTGTTCGTCGAAATTCATCCCATAAAGCCGACGATGTTCTTGGTGCAGGATTGTTAGATAAACAATAGGGCTATGACTGAGCCTCACTCACGTCCATTCTAGTTTAGAGAATACACTAAAGGCAGATTCGTATGCAACATCCTTTGGAGGCAAGTAACTTTTAACCAAATCACGAATAACGTCCTCGGCTTCATACACATCCTTGGAAGGGAAAAATTTACTCAAAAGGAGTATATCGACTGGAAGCCCTGGATCATTGTCGGCGTTTTGATCGTCCTCCTTTCTCTGATGAAAGAGTAACAAAGAGGATTAGTCGAAAGACAAGACTGGACTCACTGGAATCAGAAATTCGGATCCGGCATGAGGCCCGTACCTATCACTCTAAGATTAATGCCCACCACTTGGATACGCCCTAGCGTACCAAACCGTTTTTCCTTCTTGGTCGATTGTTAAAGACCCGAAAGTGTCCACGAGGTCCTCGTTGTCGGATCCGTCGTCTCTTGCAGTATCATCCTCCGGCGGTAAGCCTTCAGTCGCAGTCTTCAAGGATTGTGCAAGCAGTGGATGGGGTTCAGAGGCGACCTTGGACTGTAACTGTGCTAGTGCAGTCTCCAGCTCCTTGATTCTAGCCTGTAGAGCGTCAATCTTGTCGTGCAACTCTTGAGTGTTGCTGAGTATAAATCTATAGTATGAATTGGTTCAATAATTCATGGATACATGAAAAGACGGACCTTGAACCTTTCCCTGGCGCTAACGTTCCGTCTGGACAGATTGAAGAGCAGCCTCGTCGAACACACGAGCTACAGGGTACATTTCTATCACATTTCAACCTTGAACCTGTCAATATCGTTTACGAGCTTCTTGTTATAGACCGACTTCAACCGTCTGCATTCGGCACACGAACGAATATGGGTAGTGGTTGGTGTTGCAGGCATAAAACGGATGGTTGTAGGTAAAGCGCCAATACCCGGCCGATCCTATCGGCACTGTGATTCGCCGAAGTACCACGATTCTCGTCCACGGAAAGAAAACGAAGCTGTATTGATTCCCTTGAAGCATCATAAATACAAGAAGCACTCGAAAATAGGCATTTAAATACTAGATACGACTTTAAACTAACCAAAACACCATGGGTGTCGGTCCTGAATCATATGAACAATGGATTATACTAATTATACCGTAGTTCCTAGGAGAGTGGTTCGAGGCTTGGGAAGTAGCAGGGCCATCTAGAGGCCTGATCCAAGGCAACCACAGTTCCTGCTCTTGAGGTCAAGCCTTTCCAGCTAGGACTAGATAGGTTTTTACGACACGAGAGTAGATAAGAACTGGTCCCATACTTGATCTTGTGATTGCCGCTTGCTATTTGGGTCGGTTCCCGCTTCTGAATCCGGGAATAGGTCGTCAAACTGGAAAGGTTGCGAGACATCGAAGGCATCTCCTTGAAGTGAGGCTGAGACCAATGAGGGGCCTTCGTACGGGCCACTTGATGCCCAACCCATGAAATTGGACGGCTCAGGGCGAGACCCGAGAGGGCTGGTATCGTCAAAGGAGTCGCCAGAAGTGAATATGTCGGTATTAGCGGTAAGTCCAGGTATGACCGGCGGGAATATGCTCTGCTCAGGGTGGAAATCCAGTGTAGAGACTTGAGTCGAAAACGCAGAAGTAGGACTACCATTCTTCGTCAATGGCTCCTCGAATTGCTTCATATACTCAAATAGCACCGGATGTACGCTGCTCGGCTGGAGGTCCTCTGAATGGCCGTTTACTGTACTCGGAGTTGTTGCTTCCTGTGGTTTCCTTGGCGCAAAATCAGTTCGTCCAATGAATTTCATGACATCGACATCGACGTCATCCCCTTGGTGAACAGGCGGCCATTTACCTTCCTTGAATTGACTCATAGCGAGGTGAGCTTGCTCGGTGAGTTTGATGATTGTCGACTATATGTGACAAAATGTTAATATGGGCCTATTGAGAGGCATTTATGAGACTTGCCTGAGCATGAAATACACGATACGCTTTTACTCGGGCGAATATGTCTTTAAGACGATCAATCTCATTTAGACTTGATTGTGCCAGGGAGCAGCCCGGACTCTTGATGACAATTGCACACAGGCAGACCTAGAGCTCCGTGAATACTAGAAATCAATCGCTGGCAGCACATACATAGGCAGACCTGACGCGTATTAGCTCGTATGCAATATTATAGGATTCATAGACTTACAAAGCGTGAACCCACATGAAAGATATTCTCGACAACAATTGTTGTACAAGGCTATCTAGGCGTAAGATCGCTTGAAGTAATATAATGGCGCTACGGTGGACCGCCAATACACTCATAGCGTATTTACTGCGCAGGGGCTCGTCGGAATGCCTAGATAAGGCTTCGACGAAATAGCGCCGGTGAAGGTACATTAAAGCTACAAAACTTAGTTGTCAGGTTTTGGTGGAGAGAGATGGCTTACCAATTTCCCGCAGTCCTCTTGTCGATAAGATGTGTATTATAAATGCCAGGAAACCAGTTTCGTCTTTGCATTCCAGTTTAGGGGCGTCATCATTGGAGGAAGGGACACTAGCTAAATCCCAATCACGGAGGTTTTTGTCCAGCCTTTAATGCTTAGATAAGACGAAAGGAGAATCAATGAAACCTTACTTGATGATTGTAGCATATGTGGGAGGTTTAACTGCAAATGCCTCATCCAGAACGCCTCCCAGGCATTCCGCAACCCATCGATGTCTGATACGGCTGACTGGTTTTACTTCGCATTAGATGGAAAGTTACACCGATAATAGTACCTACATGATGGAAGTCCACCCTCATCCTCACTGTCC